GCTGCTAGTGGGTTGGAGCCTCTGGTGGCTGGCAGCCTGACGTGTAACCCGCTGTGCCCCTGGAGCACCTCAGTGATGAAGTGCACCCTGTGTGCCCCGGGGAGCCCTGGTGACGTAGTGATTATGTGCTCTTCCGCTAACCGCAGGGTGTGCGGTTCAAAACCACCAGCTGCTCCACAGGAGAAAGACAGACTTTTGACTCCCATAAAAAGTTGCCCTTCTGCCCTGACCTGGAAGGTTTGAATCGACTGATAGTCGTGAGTTTGCTTTGGGGTTTTTATATGCCGTGTGCTGGGCTTTTAGGCACGGCCTCCTCTCACCTACCATCCCCCTGTAAGGTCAAGCTGTAGCTCACCCATTTTGCAGATAAGGAAACTGAGAGCCCAAGAAGTTACACTAAAATAGACCAGGGTTTGGACCTGAGTGACATTCCTGGGAAGATTAAATATTGTAATCCGCGTGAAGCGCTCAGCACAGTGCCTGGCACGTGTTCAGTCACTGCTGCTGTTTGGCTACTTGGCTCCGACCCAAGGTGACTTTGTGTGTAACAGAACCCAGCATTGTCCTGTCCTGTCCTGTCTGCGGGAGCCTCTAACTGCTGGCTCTTATTCCCACTGGTGTGTGTAAGGTCCCTCAGCTAGCCAAGGGAGAAGAGGCACTTGAACCCCACTTTGTTCTGTATCCTTGTAGCAAAACCTGTACAACAAAGACATCTTGAACACGTGGGGCACTCGGGGTGCCCCAGCCTTGAACAGCAAGCTAGGCACCCTCAGACAGGGTCTGTTTCTCTAGCAGAGGCGCCCACTCTGCATCAAGGACTTCTCGGGGAAGTGGCGGAAGGTGAGATCAGAGAGGAAGGATAATGTGGAAATTGTTCAGAAACTTGGCAGCTTAGTTAGGAACCTACCATGCAAGCCTTAGGGTGTTACCAGCACCTCATTAAACCCCAGCACTAATTACTCATTTCTCCAAGGAGAAGAAAAGTGGGGACTGGGTGATCAAGGACGTGGCTCCTGGACCGGTGGGCTCCTGTCCTTGTGACCTCAGGCAGGTCATTTTGTCCCTGCTCACTGTGTGTCTCCAGTATGGTTGTGCCTGTCACATCCCTGCCTCCCCAAGTCTTCAGAAGCCCGGCCCCTCCTAACACTGCGTTCCAGGCAGTGGCGCCCGTCCACCTCCCTCGGTCACTGCCCTTCCCTCGGGGACTAGCGGTAGGAAGGCCGCCTGTTCATTTTTTCAGTAGCCCATTCCCAGGCAAGCTTGAGCCAACCAAAACAGCTCTTTCCTTGGGACCCGAAGAGCTCTATAGAAATGAATGCAGAGCTTCCTGTAAGTCCGACTCTTGTCATTGGTGGCTGATAATAACGATAGGTTGAAATCAATATTTAGATGCTGTTCTTGAGAGTGAGGCCGGTTCCTGTGGCAACAGTTCTGTCTTCCGCACAGTGCCACTCCCCAGAGAGAGAGACACAGAGTTTATTGCGAAGACTATGCTAAACAGACATCGGATTGGATACATCAAACATTTATCAGGGCGAAGAAATAAACTTGCTTTCCTCACCGCTCTCTGTTTCTCTTACACACACACACACACACACACACACACACACACACACACACACACCACCTCCACCACCACCTCCCCACCCCGAATGACATCAGCTGGAACTTGGAACCAATGCTAGATCATCGGCAGCCTCATTGCATTCAACTCCCTGGACTTGGGTTCTTAGAGCCGTTCAGAAGGCAGAGGGTCTAGAATGCTCTTTGCCTTCCCTTAATAAAGGCAGAATTCCCAGCATCAGTTGGCAAGCCAAACTGGCACACTCAGCCCCCTCTCTCCAGAGCCCTCTCAGCTAGCTTTGTTGGTTGTCCTTTTGGGGGACAAAACCACACGGCCCACAGGTGTGGTTGGGGGACACAGCCTGGCTCAGCCTTCCATCTCTGCAGTGTCCTCTGGGCTCTACCCTCTGCCTTAGTAGAGGGGGAAGGGCCTCATCCACAGGCTCAGTGCATGTAATCGCCCAACCTCGTGTGCTGTTTCACCAGCAATAAAAATCCAGCAGGGAAATGAATGCTAAAATTAGTTTGTTTGTCCTTTGACAAGATCTCCCCAGTTGAAAAATTCGTGTTTATCTATTTGGCTGGGCAGACTTGCTGAAATTGAAATTAACTGCCTTGCCTAATGATGCAATAGATTGTGTTGTGAAGAGATCCCATTGAATGCTCCTTGAAGGGACATTCAATCCAAAGAAACCCAACCTCTGGCAAAGCTAATGCTTTTTGGCCCAGGTGTGTTCCCCCCCTCCCCCTCCCCCCACTAGTTAAGAGAAGGAGTCGTGCTGGCATAGGGGACTTCACATTGAGTGGCTAACCAAAAGGTCAGTGGTTCGAACTCTACCAGAGAAAGATGAGGCAGTCCACTTCTGGAAAGATTTAATCTCAGAAACCCAAAGGGGAAAGTTTAACTCTTTTTTTTGTAGAGTCACTGTGAGTCAGAATTCATTCGATGGCATTGAATTTGGATTTTTGATTTGGCTAGTAACAGAACTGGTGTGCATAGTCCACTGCTAGACCCTAGGTCAAGAATTACTTCATCCGGTGGATGGATGGATGGATGGATGGATGGATGGATGGATGGATGGATGAATGATGAAGTGAACGGGGTGTTTCATTTGCCGCATGTCTTAGGTGTCAAATTTGCTAACATCTAACAGGAAGAGAAGAGCTATCATAAGTATCCTTTTAAAAAGAGTTTTTGCTAAACCTTATTATATGGCTGCCTTTGGGTTGTGTTCATGCATGCCACAAATAAAATATTTAATAAGCACTCAGTGTGGTAAAGAGTTGGGCTGCTACACCTCAAGTCGGTAGTTCTAAACCACCAGCAGCAATTTGGGAGAAAGATGAGGGTTTCTATTGCAGTAAAGTTACAGCCTCCGAAACCCACAGGGGCAGCGGTGCTCCGTCCTACAGAGCCACTGCGAGTCGGGATTGACTAAGAACAGTCCTTGTCGCCAAGGAGCTTATTGTCTAGTGTGAGACAAGCATTATAAAGCAATTGCATACACAGCTCTTTTTTAATATGTATAAAGCATTGAATTATATGATATGTGAATTCTATGTCAATAAAAAAAGCCTTTAAGCAATTACCAAATAATTTACCTATATCTATTATATTCTTCTGTGTGTTTTATATTGTTTTGTTTTTATTGAAATATAACTCATATACCATAAAATTCATTATTTTAAAGTATGAAATTCAATGATTCTTTGAAATATATGCATTTGGGGTTTCGTTTTTGCAGTGAGGGCCACTGCCATCGAGCCCTTTGTTCTCACGCTGACCTAGAGGACAGAGAAGAACGGCCCCTCAGGGTTTCAAAGGCCGGGATCTTCCGGGAAGCTGACTGCTGCATCTTCCTCCTATGAAGTTCAACCCCTAGCCGTTCCACTTGGCAGCAAGTGCTTTCTTTCCCCACTGGGCCACCAGGGTTTGTCCACGGGCATGGGGTTGTGCAAACCTCGGTCCACGGTGCTGCTTTGTCCCACAGCCACAGACTGCCGGTGTCAGTGACTCCAACCAACCTAGGGCAAAACCAATCAAACCTTCTGTCCACTGTCCATCGTCCATCCATCCATGATCATCAGGGTCATCCATAGGGTCAGGGATGCAAGCATCAGAGATGTCCAGCCTTACCCTGGACACCTCGGTCTTAGGACACACTGCCGTAGGAGAAATGCCACCAGGGACACAGAAGCCTGTTTTCTCCCCGTGGAGGAGGTCAGCCATCTGGATTGGAGGGCTGGCTCTAGAAGGCTCTTGGGGGAAAAGACCTTGTCTCTTTTCACCTTCTGTTCCTAGAGTCCTTGACGATCATGTGACCTCCATCTTTTCCTCCATCTGTGCCTACTAACATTTAGGATCAGTTTATCATATACCCCCTGCCAACACTATCTCATAGACGTAACAAAGAACCCCTTTCCAGTGATAGGAGTTTGAGGATTTACACCACATTTGGGGTGAGCGTGTCATAATTCAATCCTCAGCACTAACCTTCCTTTGGCCCATCCTGGTAGCTGCTTCTCACACCAGCTGGCTCTAGTGAGAACTCCTTCACCGCTCTTGAGTCAAGAGGAAGAACACCAGCATCTACCCCATGGACACCCAAGTTAAAGGCCAAAGACAATGAAGCAGTTGGTGGCTGGGTTCCGCTGGCTCTTCCACGCTAATCACCCTTTGTGTTCTTCTTATCCCACTGCTTAAAACGCAAAACAAGTGTATTTTCCGATTCCTGACAGGGTCGGTTCCCTGCCATATGACTGGGTCATTCTGAGTCAGATTTTTTAGTTCCCAGGATGTCCAAAGTCCATGAGACAAAGTCTCGCTTTCCTTGCCTCCAGGGAGCATTCTGGCTGTATCTCTTCCAAGAGAGATGTGCTCTGTTCTCCGGGGGGTCCGTGATCTCCCTATCATGGAAAGCCTAGGACACAGAGAACTAACTGGTTTACCTGGGATGCCCCAGGTGGGATGGGGTATTGGAGCCGGCCTCCAGCATGCTCTTCACGTCTCTCACTGGTCTCGCCTGCCCTCCCCACCGCACCCTTGTGTGGTGTGTTGCTCTGTGATTTGCTAATGACGTGTCGGTTCCCTTCACATTGCCTAGGTAGAACACCTGCCTTTGTAACCACTGATGCTCACAAGAAGTCGCAACTGCATCTGACAGTTGCTTTTATTCGCTGGCGCCCTTGTGCTGCCCAGCTTCCTGTGAGCTGGGCTTCATTAAGCCGAGTCGTTGATTTGCCAGCAAGCTGGTGATCCCTTAAGTTGAGTCCGCAGCTGAGCCAACCTTGGGTTTTGATCCGTTCCAGGGGCCCTGGGAATTCTCAGTGCTTTCCCTTAGCACCCATGACCATCCTGTAGGTTTCTGGGTATGAATGACAGGACTGCCCAGGACTTCAGCCACAACCGGTTACATCACCCTCTTCTCCTTTCAAAGGTACATGACGGATGGTGGGCTGGGCCTCTACACCCGGCGCCTGAACCGGCTCCCTGATGGGATGGCTGTGGTGCGGGAGACCCTTCAACGAAATACCTCCCTGGGCCTCGGAGACGCTGACAGGTGAGCATGCTGCTGGGTAAACTCGGGGTTAGCCTGACGCAGAGGTCAGCCCGGTGTGCTGAGACATGCAGGGTGACAGGGAGAGCCACCAGCTACTCCCTTACGGGATCTGGAGGAGTGTGTGGCCCATTAGGTGGAAAGGCTCTGCAGGCTCTGGAGGCCCGTTGGTGGGTAGATGGGGTGCTTCTGACAGTAGGAGCACAGGTAGTTGGGGCGTGGGGTGCTTCTGTTGTTTTGAATGTTGCAACTGCATTGTTGTCAGTTCCGCAGGCCCTGGGGACCTGCTGAACTTCCGCTCAGTATCCAGCTTTCTAGGTACTGCCCCGTGCAACAGAGTCCCTGGCGATGCCCAGGTCTGTGTGCACAAGGGAGCTACCCTGGCCTGCCTTCGTGGGGCAGACTTCCTCACGAGACTCCTGTTGCCTGGTGATGGGCCGCAAGGAGGAAGGCCATACGCGTATACAAGGGCACTCCTTTTAATTCCATCTTCCGTGAACTTCTGGCAGCCCCTCCCCATATGTCGAGGAGTTGGCATGATATGCATTTGCCAGTCTTTATTGCCACCGCTGCCAACAAGGAACAGCGTTCATGACACACTCAGATGCAGAAGGAGGAACGTTTGTCTCCAGTTTCCACTCCGCACGTGGTGCTGGCCTTGGGCAGGCTGTTCCAGGAGGGACTGGACAGTGGGGTTTCCAAGGTCCCTTCTCGCAGTAGAGTTCAGTACCTTTTATTGCTCTGACTGTTCCCCACTTTCTGACACCCCGGACTTCTAGACACCTCTGGGTTGATGAGCCCAAGTGTGGAACGTAGATGTGACTGGCTTGTGATGACCTTATGCTTCTGGAGCGAGTGCTGACCCCTGGTGGCACAACCACTAAGCACTCCTCTACTGACCGAAAGCTGGGCAGTTTAAGGCCACCCAGTGGCTGCATGGGGAAAGACTTGGAGATTTACTCTTAAAAAGATTATAGCCAAGCAAACCCTACAGCCACCACCCACAGCCACCCAGTTGAGATTGACTCCTAGTGACCCCGTACTGGGTTTCTGAGGTTATAAACCTTCATGGGAGCAGATAACCTCTTCTCCTATGGAGGGAGCAGCTGGTGGTTTTGAACCACTGACCTTGTGGTTAGCAATCTAACGCTTACTTGACAGTGTCACCAGAACTCCTGCAAATCCTATGGGACAGTTCTACTCTAACTAATACGGGGTCACCACCGGCCCAAGATTAGCTCAGGGACCCCTCACAACAGCAGCACCCCCACCCCACGAGCCAGAAAGCAAAGTGGTAACAGAAGGACACCTTTCTGCCGCTCTCTAAGCAAAGTCCACATTTTACAAAGCGCCTGGCAGCTTCTGTGCTCCTTTGGCATCAGGAAAATGAGGCCGCGCACGTTGGACAGACGGGCACTGTTCCGTGTAAATCACGTGAGCCCCCCCCCCCCATGTTCTCCCAGGGAAGGCTGGGCAGCATGGGCTCTGGCCCTGGCCCTGGCCTTGCCATGGAAGCCCCCTTCACCCCGCAGTTTCTGAGCGGGGGGCCTTGGGCCCCCGTCAGCTGTTTTCCTGTCGCACGGAAGGCGTGGCTTAGAAAGTGCCAGGGCGAGAAGAACCATTTGGGAATGACTTTCTCGAAACCTTATACAGGAAACACACACACACACCAACAACCATGCTTGCAGCCCCCCCAGCCCCCATGGAGGTTCCACAATTGGCCAAACTTACTCGCTTGTTTGCATCCTTTAATAAACATGTGTGCAGCTGGTTAGCCGCTCTATTAGCATAAAATGCAGACCTTACAAGGTACATTTCCCTGGTGGCCAAGGCAGGATGCATGCCAGGCAGTGTAAATTGTTTAATAATTACACTAGGCGGTGTAATAATTAACCCTGTTCCATGGCCGGGTTAATGGAATTATTATAGATCACAGCTGAGCTGCTGCCTGCTCTCAGAGGCGAAGGCATCGGAGCCAGGCTTGGGAAGATGGAGAGCCTTGTTCTGCTGCACCGGTCCAGCTGCCGGCGGGGACCAATGGACAGCGGCGTCTTCTGGCTCCTCCCACGCCAGAGTTTAAGAAGGAATCGATAAGTGGCCGTGTTTTAAAGGAAGGACTCCAGTGGGCTTTTGTTTTGTTTTGAAAGTAGGATAGGTTTTTAAAAATAGAATTTAATTATGACGATAAAATACTTACCATTTTATAGAGATTCTCACCTGTAGGGAGTGGGCTATTCTGCATGGCTCAGCAATATGCTTTATTTCTTTAACCGATAGAATGTTTCTGAACAGATCCGAGCAATCCTGTATCTTTGGCTAAGGTGACATAGTGGTGGATTTATGAGTGCTCCGTATGAAGCGCTTTGTGTTAATGTCTTCTACAATCTGCTCCAAAGGAATGTTTCCCAAGGGGGTGATTCTTACCATGCGTAGTATGGACCATCCAGGGAACACAAGAAAGTGGTTATTTTTACAAGTCCTGCTTACGGTAAGGCTCGCCCAGGCTTGAGCCAATCACAGTCTCGTGTGGGATATCAAGGCAAGAACAGCACAGATGGTATACAGGCATGTCCACCGTCCTCAGCTCCCGCCACCACCACCCCCCCAAAAAAAAAGATAATATGCAGATGGTGGAAATTTGGGTAATGCAGTTCTCCTTCCTGGGATTGGAAATGTAGTCTTTAAACAATCCAAAGTTTACGAGTAAAAAGAGCAGAAACCCAGCCTCTTCCCAGAATCCTTCCCTTTCAACTTGAAACAAGAACAGTGTGGGTGCAGAGCTGTTTCCAGGCAGCCCTGGGTGCAAAGCTGCCTGGCCTCTCTTCAAGACTCACAAACACGCCACAGATCCCAGGACAAAGAGGAAACGTGGGGAGGAATTAGGCCTGAATAGACCTCTGCAGAGGAACAGCCTGGCATAGGAAAGGCAGATCTCTTGTGAATGGACACCCCATTAGCCTGGCATAGGAAAGGCAGATCTCTTGTGAATGGACACCCCATTAGC